TTTTCTTCTCAAAGTTTTATTGATAAACAGATAGCAATGAGACAGTTTCAAATCAAATCGGAAGTACAGTACTTTGTTATTTTGGGGAGTTGTTTTGTTTTGTTTTTGAGACAAGCCTTGTTATGTAGTTCAGGCTGGCCTTGAACTTGTGCTGATCCTCCTGCCTCAGTCTCCTGAGTGCTGGAGGTGTGTGCCACTTTGCTGTCATTTACCACAAGAACCAAAACAAGGGCCAGCTTTTCCTTCTGAGTTTGTCAGGTCAGAACTGTCTACTAAGGACAATGCACATAATCATCTTTAAACACAAGCACAGAAGGGAGCAGCTGAAAATTATAAAGCACATTTAGGCCAACGTTTGGCTGAGCAGAAGCCAACAACTCCTAGAACTTAAGAGTCTTTTGCTCTGACCTGCTACCTTCTGAGACTGGGAACAAGTTTCAGAGAGGCTGGCTCACCCACCCACACCACAGGCCACTGGGCACATTAGTCAGGCACCTGAGCCAGTGCCGGGGGCTGGGCTTGGGGAGTCTCTAGTCCTACCATACAGCACCTAAACCCGATCTGACCTCTACTTAATGTTTCAAAGCACAGATCTGGCTGGGAGTGGTGATATTCTAGACAGCTAAATTATATGGAAATATTGTAGGCAGTCAGACAGGGCTGGGCCCTCAAAGGTCAGGGCATAAGATAGCTATAGCTGGAGGTACATTCCTTGAAAGCCAGGCTTCAAGATAAAGAGGACTGAACTTCCTCCATATGCTTCCACTAGGGGTGAACAGCAGTGACTGACATTCTAAAGAGGCATCAATCACCTTGGGGTGGAGGACCCACTTCCTTATCCATGCCTTCCAGGAAAGCCTTTGTCCATCCTCTGTGCGCCTGCTGCATGACTTGTTTCCCCATTCAATCCCCATTAAATCAATATTACCCAAGCAACTACACATGTTCTATACTTACTGGTTGACCATAATTTTATCCCAGCTCACATCCACCTTGTGACTTCCTCTCTAGGTCACTATTACCTAAGTGACTATATTTGTAATCTCGTTAGTTGAGTATAGTTCTGTCCCACCTTGAACCCACCTCACCTCGTGGCTTTGGCCAATAAAACACCCTTGAGAATGGCAACCCACATTCCTGGGCTCTTCTCAGACAGGTTTTGCTTTCTCTCAATAAATTTTTCCTACTATTAAGCTTTGTTGTTCCTAGAATTCATTCCTCTATTTTAGTAGAGGATATGAACTTGGTGTTTTGATTATCTAGCAGATTGGGAGTTATAATATTTTCCTTATATTTGGATTGTTCGGTGGTTGCATATCATATGCCCTGTATCAGTGGCTCACATCTGTAATCCCGGCACTCGGGAGGCTGAGGCAGGAGAACTGCCATGAGTCTGAAGCTAGCCTGAGCTACATAGTAAGACCCTGTCTCAAAAAAAAAAAAAAAAAAAAAAAAAAGAAACAAAGCATAGGTCTAATGGAATGGACACTACTCCACATTACACCAGACTAAAGCAGGAACTTGCTCCACACTACCTCTACCTAGCCTGGCAGTGGGACACAGGTTATCCTCACTGTTTATGTGAGCTGAAGAGGGCACCTAAGTGAGTTCTGTGGACAGAGATGTCCTGGGTGGTGCAGCATGCTTAGAAACCTCTCTGGTTTCTGCCCACCAGATGTCAGTGACACCCTCTTCCCTCACTGTGACAGGCACGTCTCCAGACCTTTCTAAGATCCCCTAGAGTGCAAGCTCCTGCTAGCTGAGATTCAGATTTCAGCTGAGAAAAACACATTCCCACTTTTTTTTTTGGCGACTGATTATGTGTTCAGAAAGACTGATTATAGCACAGAAACATACAACCTCAAGGTACAGAGCTCGAAGGCCGGTGCAGACCCTGGCCTTGCCAAGGGAAGGCGACACCATGCGACTGCAAGCTGGGCTCCTGTCAGTGCACCCTAAAACACAATGGGGCTACCACTCCACCAGCAGAAAGTGCCTCCCTGGGTGGCAGCAATGGCGGGTCCCACGCTGGGAGGGCCCAGGTTGCCATCTCACAGTCAGGGGGCCCTGGAGCATTCTCAGGGGTCCCTGGGCATCTCAGCACTCCGAAGAGCTCCATCACTGACAAAAGCCTCTGAACCACAACTCTTATCTCTGTGCGGTTGGACAGATGAGCTCAGTGCTTAGGCAGCCACAGATCCTCTGAAGCCCGGAACACGTCCCCCTCGCCAGGACCATCCAAGCAGAAACAGGCCAGGCAGGTTTCTACAGGCATGAACTCCTCCCAGCCTCACCATGATACTGTCACACACTGTCCCCTATACTGTTACCGACTTGAAAGTAAAATGTGGGCTCAAAGAGGTGCTCATTCATGGTCACTAGTCCACGGCCCTAGAAGCTGTATAGCACTCTACAAACCAAGCTGTCTGCCTACAGCTGCACTCGGGAGGCCAGCACTGGACTTGGAGTTGTCAGGAGCCACACAGGCAGCAGGGGACATGTCCACACTCGCTGCTTTGGTGTCCTGACTGTCGGGAAGATGGAGTTCATATTTGGGCCCATGTCCCAGCAACAGGGTGCCACTGAGGGCTGGTCTGGGGAAACAGGACAGCACACGGCAATGTGCCTCAGCCCAGCTCTAAGGAGGGCCTGAGAGAAGCACAGAGAGCAGGGGCCGACCTACCTCAAGTACATCCCCACGGCATAAGCGCACAGGAAGGAGTAGTCCAGAGCCCCGAGCAGCTGCTGGTAGTTGTCCTTATCTACATGGGGTTGAAAATCAACAGGAAAAGCTCAGTATGGCTTAGTTCTGGAGCAGGGCATGCAGCACAAAGCCTGGGTTTCTTGCAAAGGAAAAGAAAGTCATTTGATGTCAAGTTATCATGAGCAAGGCAATCTAGATTAGATATAATTCCTAGTATTCTCGGTGGGCACGTGCATGACTTTGGCTGTGCTTGAGTGCTTCCAGGGCTTACGTCCTCACCACCCCACCCCAGCGCTCTGCTTTGCAGCCCCTAACTTCCAAGTCCGAGAAATGCACAACGCGAGCAGTCTCCCAGAGCTCCCCAAGCACTAGAGAATCCCATCCAGGCAGTGATGCCTGTGCACAGCACCTTAGACTTGGCTCAGCCAGGACAGAGCTGTCACGGATGGGGGCTTACATCTGGGGCCAGCACTGTGGAGCTGAAGACAGGAAGGCCCAGAGACCCTGACCAGATGTGCCACTTGGGGGTCTGGGCCAAGGGCGCTGTTGCCAACTCACCGAATGGGGCCCAGCCACAGTCGCTCTCGTTGTCCTGGAGCTGGTGCAGGGCAGCAAGCCCGGTAATGTCGCTGGGGTCGCCAAGTCTGGGCTCAGCCTCATCCCCCGCAGCGCAGGGCTTATGGAGCTCACCCTAGGGTGCACATGCTTACATTATGCGAGGCTCCAGTTCCACCCCCCATGTCAAATAAAAACGAATAAATACATAAAGACATAAGCCACACTTCCCATGATCTGTCAAACATTTCGTATATTCTGTTCCATTCTATTGGCCATTTTGTCTATTCTCTTACAATATCAGAATATTTTGATTATAGTTCTTCAGAATATATTCATCTTTTTCATTTCATGAAATGTCATCTTTTTCACATCAGCATTGGTAATTTGTTTCCATACATTTTCTGATTGACTTTAATATTTTATTCAATTAAAAAGAATCTCTGGTGAAGTTTCCAAGGGAGAGCTGGGATTGTTTCCTCCTGAGCCATGGCGTATCCTTCTAGTTTGTCAGACCTCTGTCTTTCAACTACTCTGAGGGTTTAATCCTTTTCTTCTACTCACTCGTGCACCAGTCAGTGTCCACTGTCTTCCCTAAGTCTGGAGCTTAGAAAAGCTCCTCTGAGAAGCTCACAGCTCACAGGCTCCTTGCTCAGGTCCAGGCAGGGGTCCAGGGTTCCCCAAAGACCTGACACCCCTCATCCCCCTAGCCCAGGCTGATATGGGTCTCAGTCAGGAGGGTGGCTCCAGTGGAAGTGGCAAAAGAAAGGAAAAGGGGGTGACTTACAGCACACTATCATCCTTCCGGTCCTGTTTATGTTGTCATTGTTTTAAATAAGACAAATAAGATTAATTAGCAGTGATTAAATCTGATAGGCCATGTTATTCTATAAGTGAATTATAGAATATGAATCATGCTATAATTCTCAAGCCTTGATAATTGATTTTAAGTAGATATTTTGTATTTGATGGTAGGCTAGAAAATCTAACCTGCAGATAATTGTCCAAACTGTTCCTTGGACCAACTGAATCATTACTGTTCCCAGCTCCATTTATATCACTAGTAACATGAGCTAAGGGTTGAGAAAGCATCATGGCACCATAAAGTCTAAGTTATCATAGACAGTGTTCTATTTTTAGTTATCTTAAAACGCAAAGGAGACTACAGGATTCAGCATAAGGCTAATCTACACTCAGGAGTTCAAGTCCAAAACTCTGGGTGTCAAAGCAAACCCTGCACTCGGGGAACTGAACTGGGGCAGAGGTGGGCGAGAGCAGACCTGCAGAGAGTTCGCTCCATTGGAGCAAGCCAACATTACAGGATGGAATGATGCCTGCTGAGCCTGCCTGCTCCTGCACATGCCCACGGAGACCCAAGGAGGACAGACTGTGAGTTTGTCAAACCACATGGCACCCTAAGCAGAAGTTATTGGTGCTTATGAAATAAGGGCAGGAGAGCTGACTGTGCGACCCAGAAACCTGAAGCTTGAGTGGGAACACCTCTGCACACCATGGCTGGCAGGAGGGAAGCAGCAGGGGAGGGACCTGGATCCTTGCTCACATCTCCTGGCAAAATGGGGACCCTCAGGGTCATCAGATGGAATCAAGGGCCACATCAGCCTGAGCGAGCCTCCAGGGCCAGTGCCACCTTCCACACCACATCTGACACACCGACCTTTGACCCATCAGGTGGATGGCTGTGTTGTCTCACCAGGACCTCCACCAGGTAGTCAGGTAGCCCCTCCTCCACAACCAAACCCCACCTCAGGCTCTATAACTTCCAAGTTTACATGGAAGCAATCTTTAAATTTCATGTCCAGGCTGGCTACTGGTGTTGATATTGGAATCCTGGCAGCAGAAGAGTTTATTAAGGATGCCCCCTCTTTTCCTACCCAGGTCTCTCTTTTGAAAATCATGCTTTTAAAGGTCTACAAACATTTCCACCAGCCAGGAATCAAGAGAAAAACCACAGAATCAGAGTAAGAGACAGTTCAGCACCCTCTGGGAGAAGCCTGAGAGGAGGTTAGAAACCTGCTGTAGAGGCCATGGCCTCCGTACAGCTGAGGCCACTGGGAGCTGGAGGGACAGCTGTCCATGCTCAGCCGCTACTATTGTGGAGAAAGCTTGGCAGCCAAGGTCAGAGTCCCACTGGGCCCCTGCCAACTGCTGGGAAGTAAGCTGGGGCAATCAAGCTGTAAATGGGCTGTGCTCGGCGAGGGCCAGTTTCCTTATTCCTTCTACAATAGAGTCAAAAGCCATCCAAGCCTGATGATGTCCACACGCAAAAGGAGGCTAAGAAGACCTTTCTACTGGTTTCCTGGCTGTGACAGGATGCTATAGAAGACTGTTCCTGGCAGTCTTTCCGTGTCCAAGCCTAGCCAAACACCTGTTCAGCAGCTTCCTCTGCCCACCCATCTCAGACCTCCATGGATCACAGAGCATCTGCACCTCCAACACACACACACACACACACACACACACACACACACACACACACACAAAGTTGGACTCAGGTCAAACTGTGCCCAGTCAGACCAAGTTAAGATGAGAGATACTTAGCAAAAAAATTTATGTAAGACACCATGAGTACTTCAGCAAACCTGAGAATTCACGAACTGATAATACAAATCTATAACCTCTGAAATGATAGTACTTTTTCATGATACTAACAATCATCATTTCTGAAAAGAGAACTCAAAACAGCAAAGCAATGTGTACGTGACAACCTCTTCCTACATTTACCTTTGCCCCCTGCCTGTCCCCTTGCAACATCTTAGGGAAACCCATTCCTCACAGAAGTTCCAGGCAGGATAGAGAAACGAGTGCTTTTGATTTCTCACCTTAACTATGCTGATTGGCTTCCGAGACAGGTGAAAACTGGCATACAGCAAGTATGTGAGCGCAAAGATGAAGGCCCCGTACCTGAAACACAAACAGGGCAGCACAGGCTGGCATCAGGCTGCTGAGAAGACTTTTTCGCAGGGCTCTCCAACTGTCTCATATTAGCTACCAAAATCCTTCTCATAAAAGTGGTATCAGGACAGATGCAAAGCTGACTTCCAGCTGTCCAACTTGAGATGGAACATTCTAAGAGAGGAGAAACTCACTTTTCCTATACTCATGCTTGGCACAAATGCCTTCTACCGCAGATGAGTGGGTATCCCTGTACCAGGCGATTCTCCAGTGGACAGCAGCAGGTGTGCCCCAATCCAGCTCAACTCTGAAGGGAGTGTTGGCTCTCCTGGGCTGAGGGCTCAGCCCCAGCAATGGCCCCCACTTCAAGGGCCAAAAGCAAGACCCATACCACGACTTGGGCTTCTGACCGACTGGTCAGACTGGCTACAGTGGCCAGAGCCCAGGGGCCTCTTCACTGGAGTGAACCCGCTTGCCACAATGCATACCACAAAGGCTCCAGACATGCAGTCATGGAAAAAGTGGTCAGGATGAGGTGTGGGGCCACCATGCCCATTACGCCCCAGGAACCCCTAAAGGTCTAGTCCTCCAGAAGCCTTCCCAGCCTGATCCTCTCAGTTTTGGACTGAAATATCCAGTCTTCTCAGGGTGGGTTCTTTCCCCTGGCAAACCAGTCCCTATCCTAAGGGGATACAAGTGCCCCAGCCACCTGTCATTTCATTAGCATACAAAGGATGCATGTTTGGGGGATTCCTGGAGTTTTAGGTATGCGCCAGGAACGAGGGGCAGAGAATAACTATCATAAATATATGTCTAAAGAAAAAAAAGGGGGGCCAGCCAAACAGCTTAGCGGATTAAAGCACCTGCAAGCAGGTGCAGGGGCTGGGGGTTCTATCCCTGGGCCTGTTGTGCTGGCTCCGCTCCCAGGGCATGCTGACACAGCAATTGAGATTAGGTGTGGTGGCGTGCACCTATAATCCCAGATCTTGACAGGCTGTAAACAGGGGGATCACTAAGAGTCTTATCTAGTAGTGAGATGCTGAACACCCTGTAGACCCTTCCCTAAAATACAAAAATAAAAAATAAATAAATAAAAAACAAAACTATAACCAAAGAGAAGTTTGGGGTCAGAAGATGGGTGTTTACATAGCAGACAAGGAATGATCATGGAGATTACTAGAGATTTATTGGTATAGACTGCTACTCTGTGCCTTTCAGATCCCATTTGCTTTTGGCAGTTCCTGCACAAGTCTGCAGAAGCACACAGGAAAACTGGGCTTGCAGCTACGCCACTGATGCCCATGAGAACCAGCCATGCTTCTACCTGGAGAGAACAAAGATGGGCAGCACTGCACCTCCCAAGGCCACTCCCCAGGCCTGCAGGGATGCTGGGCCACCTCCCTGTTAGCTGTGTAACTCGAGGAACACTTCCTATGACTAACACACAGAAGGTCCTAGAATCCGAGGGGTGCTGCAAGGAGTGCTGAGGAAGAAGGGTTAGTAAGTCTGTGGGACCTACACCTGCACCTCTGGGACACGGGAGCTCCCAGGTTCCTGCTACCCTTGCAAAGATTCCTCTGCTCCCCTACTTCCCTGGGAAGACACACATGGGCGTTTCCAGGTGCTCCCTCTCCAAGCCCTGCTGCTGGCCACCTGATAGACCTGAGGCAGAACTGAGGAATTCTCAGGGCCATGGAGAGCCTTGCTTCTGCCCCACACCTTCAGGATGCTGTGGACCAGGAGCAGCCTCCAGGGCCTAGCACTCCAGGGGAGACTCATGGGGGAGACAGGGAAGGCCCCACCACTGGAGCACACACGGGGGTGGGAACCTGCATTCCTTCCCTTCTGCATGGAAATAAGAGGCCTGGGGTGAAGGAGCCCCGAAAGGATGATGCAGGCTGACTGCACCAGAACTGTCCACAGAGGCAGGGTGAGCACCAGCGACATGGCAGCTGGCGCTCCTGGTGTGTTTAGCTGCTATCTTAAGACTCCACTTCCTTCATTTCCAGATTTGTCCTTCCTCCCAGTTTGCCTCCTCTTTCTCACCAGGATTTTGGAGGCAGGAGGAACCAGTGGCCAAAGCCTTCGGGAAGGCCTGAGAGCGGCAGCTGCTTACCCTGGGCTGGGCCTTCCTAGCAGCTGTCTCCACCGGGTGGCCTCTGAGCAACAAGTTTCCTCTGTGGGATTTTTCCCTGGGTGATGCAAGTGAGGCACCAAACCACCCTCCCAAAGGTCTCTGCCATTCTGCAATCTTCATTTTCTTTATTGTTTATAGAGCAAGAATTTGAGATGTGACTTGTTTCCTTTTATCCAAAAATTCCTGTGTACCTGCAAATCCAGAATGCATCCTTATGCACAAAGATGTGCCTGGTTAAAGTGAGGCACCCTGGATTAGGGTGGGCCCTGAACCCAATGGGTGGTGTCCTCAGAGGACCAGGAGAGGACTCAGCAAGGGAGAGGAGGAGGTCCTGTGAGGAGAGGCAGGGGCTGGTGTGACTGCCAACACCAGGATTCTGGGGAATGATGCCATCAGAGACTGGGACAGGGTGGAGGGCTCTCCCGCAGCCTTGGCAGGAGCATGGCCCTGTGGCCACTCTGAGCCTAGACTCTGGCCTCTAGCACTATGGAGTATGTGTCTGTTGTTAAGATATGGAGTCTGCAGGAAACAGTAAGGCTCTGTCATTTTGTGTCATGTTATATTTAGACTCATGAGTATGAAGCAGGCCCAAGGAAAAGTGAACCACCTCCTGTTTAACCCAGCAGGGCTCCCTGCCTGGCAGTTTAGCCGACTATAGCATTTCATTTTGAGTTTCCTGCAGAACAAACAGCACATCCCCCCAGTGAGAACCAGCCAGGGTCACCTCCTGGTCCTCCTCAGTGTGTCCTTAACCACTTGGTCTCCAGGCAAGCAAGCAGCAGTGGCCTGCTCTGGCCAGGTACCTGTGACCAGGGGCCAGCAGAGCTGTGTGGTGTGACCCAGTGATATGGCCTGGCATGGAAATGAATCCAGAGAGCTTTGATTTAGCAACAGTTAAGCCAGACACAGACAGGGAGACCGCAGTGCCAGTCACAGGTCAAGCTGTCATCTGTCAACATGGGACTGAGCTTTTTGCTTGAAGCACTGGGGGTGAGGTGCATAGGACATAAACTGAGGTCACACAGACCCACTGTCCCTCACTATGCCTGCAAAGCATACCTACTATGTGGTATTGCACCCCTGAGCATCGGGGACTGGCTGGCTGCCCCCCACAGTGCCTCCTGCGGGAGGACCTCTCCTCTTCCTCTGGCAGTCATGTTCTGGTCCTTACCTGGAAGGACATACTGAATTGTTTTCATGTTTCAAGGGCCATTAAACTCTTATTCTCTCCTAGATCTGGCCAGCAAGAGTCCCTTCGTTTTTAAGCACTTATATACTTTCTGGCATCGCAAGATGTTCCAGGTTTATCCTGTGCTTCCCAGCCAGGACTGGCAAGGGCAGTGTCTCCAAGGACCCCTGGCTCTTGCTAGTGGGAGCAGGATGTACATGCAGAGCTGGAGGGTGAGATGCACTTTTGGACTGGGGCGGTGGCTCGAGGACCTCTCAGCACACTGTGCCCCACTGCCTTGTATGCATACACATCTGTTTCTCTATCTGCCTCCACAGATTCACCCAGGCCCGCCATGCCAGCCACACCACCTGATCTACTCTAGGGCCTCCCCACGCCCGAATTCACCGCTGCTCTCCATCAGTGAGAAAGTGCCTCTCTTTGGCAGGATTCCTGACCAAAATGCAGCCTGAATCTAATCCTGAAACAACAGCACATATCCAAACTGAGCGACACCCTACAAATGAATGCCCAGAACCCTTTAAAAATTACCAAGGTCCGAAAACCTGGGGGAGATGGTGCACACTTGTGATACCAGCACTTGGGAGGCTGAGGCAGGACTGATATGAGTTTGAGATCAGGTTTGGCTATATAGTGAGACTGTGGTTTAGAGAGAGAGAGAGAGAGAGAGAGAGAGAGAGAGAGAGAGAGAGAGAGAGAGGAGGTGGAGAAAGAAGGGGAGAAGGATTGCTGAATTTGAGCTCAAAGCCAGTTTGAGCTACACAGTGAGTTCAAGACCAACTTGATCTCATTGCTATTTGTTTCTCAATAAAATTATGGAAAAAAAAAGACCAACTTGAATTACACAGTGAGACCCTGTCTCAAGACAACAAAGGAAAGACAGAAAAGGGTAATGAATGGTTCCAGATTACAGGATATAAAACTAAAGGCAGGACACAGTCCTCAGTGGCATTCCAGGCATGGGAAAAGTTGCTATCAAAGTTGCTATTGGACATTTGACAAATACAGCCTTTGGATTAGATAACAGTATTCTATTTTTTTTTTTTTTTTTTTTTAATTTTGTGTGTGTGTGGCCAGCTCAGCCCACCAGGGGGCGGGGCTGGCTGGCATGTGGTGCTGGGGGATTGAACCGCGGTCCCTGTGCTTTGCTAAGCTTGTTCTAAGTAGGTGCTTTAGACCACTGAGCCATCTCACCAGCCTGATAACAGTATTCTATGGCTGTTCAATTTTCTGATTTCAATTTCTGATCTTTATGCCATGGTTACACTTTTTTACCCCCAGCGGTGAGGATGGAACCTAAGGCCTCATACATACGAGGTTAGTGTTCTACCTGAGCTATGCCCTGGCTCGAGTGAATGTCTCATTTATAGGAAATACAGAGAAATACTTAGAAAAGGATATGTTTGCTCCTCATCCCCACTGGCTTAGAAAATGTGCATGTGTGTATACACTTACAAGGTGATCAAAAAACTCGGTGATTATTTATATTTAACAAATTGTTATAGTAAAAGACATGCTGCCATCAGCTGCTCTCAAAATCCTCCCCTCACTGTGAACATACTCATCTGGACCACCGTCCTGCCACTTCCTGCAGCAGCTCTGGACTCCTTTTTCCTGGGTGTCTTTAATTCCACTGTCCTGGCTGCTTTGATATCCTGAATCCATTCAAAATGTGTCCTTTTCAAGCCAGGCATGGTAGTGCACGCCTGTAATCCCAGGACTCAGAAGGCTGAGGCAGGAGGATCATTGAAAGTTTGAGGCCAGCCTGGGCTACAAAATGAGCTCAAGGTCAGCCTGAACTGCATAGTGAGACCCTTTCTCAAAAAAAGACAAAAAGGGCCACGGAGATAGCTCAGTGGTCTAAGCTCCTGCCTAGGCCAGTACAAGGACCAGGGTTTGATCCCTCGTACCTCATGTTGTGCCAGCCCCACCCTGGGTGTACCAAGCCTGCCACCAAGAATGAGGGCCATATGAGCCTGTAATCCCAGCACTGGGGAGACTGAAACAGTAGGATCACTAGAAGTCTGGGCTGTGTAGTGAGACCCTGTACCAAATAAATAAAATTTTTTTTAAAAAAAGTGTTCTTTCCATAGTTTACTTATTTAATGTATTTCTTATGGACTCGGTGGCTGGTTCAGTGTGTCCAGGGGCAGGGCCGCCTGGGATCAAACCTGGGTCCCTGTGCTTGCCTAAGCAAGCAGGTACTTAGTCCTCTAAACTATCTCGCCAGCCCTTTATGGTCATCTTAACTTTGGGGAGGAGCCACAAGGTATGCAGGGCCAGATCTGGTAGTAAGCGGGATGAGGGCACAGTGTCATGTTTTGACGAGCCTTCCTTTCTGTTGGATGGCACTGGTGGTACATTTCTAGGCAGGTGCTTATGCCATCGAGCTGTCTCCCCAGCTGGCGGCACATTTCTAGGCAGGTGCTTATGCCACTGAGCTGTCTCCCTGGCTGGCGGCACATTTCTAGGCAGGTGCTTATGCCACTGAGCTGTCTCCCCGGCTGGCGGCACATTTCTGATCACACCTCATAAAGTCATTCAGGAAAAGACTCCAGAGCAGCTTCAGAAAGTGGGCAGAATGAAGGGGCACATTTCTGGAGTCAGAGGGACAACTCTGAAGGGGACATGTGGCGATGCATCTCCCGCTATAACTAACTTTTAAATTCTACTGACCAAATTTCTATCTGGTCAGTTCTCATACATGTGCGCACGCATACACATACTGCAGGGAGGGGAGATGTAAAGGAGGCCCAGTGCTAACTAACTGTTACATGTGAGCCCTAGGGAGTTCTCTGTAACATCCCCACAGTCTAGTAATTCTGTGGGCCAGAAACTACATTGACATAAAGTTATCAAACAAACAAGCTTAGGCCGGCAAGATAGCTCAGCAGACTAAAGCACCTGCTTAGGCAGGTTTAGGCAGGCACAAGGACCACGGTTCAATCCCAGGGCACACTGAGCTGGCCAGAGTCCATGCATAGTGGCACAGGCCTATAATCTCAGCACTGGGGAGGCTGAAAGCAGGAAGATCACCACGAGTCTGAGTTGCATAGTGAGACCCTCCAACAACCAAATACAGGAAGAAGAAGAAGAAAAGGAGAAGGAGGAGGGGGAAGGGGGAAGGGGAGAGGGGAAGGGGGAAGGAGGTGGGGAGGGGAGGAGGAGGAGAAAAAAACCCCAAAAAACAAAGAAGCTAATGAAGCTGGACACTGACAGTGTTTCATGGATCAGAGCTGAAGTGCAGAAGTGGCAGTCAGTGAGGGAAGCCACTTGCAGTTGCTTTCAATCCCTCTAGGTTCTCTGGAGCTAGCAGAGCCTGAGAGCCATGAAGTGTGGAGGGTGCGAGTGGGCTGGCAGGAAGTGGATGAGTAGATCCAGATGATGTGGTATACACTCAAAACCTCCCTAAAGGTTGAGCCTCTGGGCAGAGCTCCTTGCAGGGACCAGCCAAGAACCCTGACTGCCTGTATAAGCAGTATGGCAACAAGATGAAATAAGAAACAGGTAAAATTAGTAACGTATGATGGGGGCTGGGAAGTCCATGCCTCAGGATGGGCAGAGATAGACACCCCAGGCCAGCCGCTATTTATTAGCCACTAGTGTAGGGGAGGGGGAGGGTGCTTTTTCTGGAACAGCAAAGAGGCTGTGTGGTACAAAGAGCAAGTTTAACATCATAAAGGAAACAAGCCAAGACCCATCCCACACCTGGGTGCCAATCTCACTCATGAGAGAGGAAGACAATTTCTGTGGTCCAAAACTGGCCCACAAGGCAGGCAGGGAAGGAAAGCCTAGGACATACTATGTCAACTTACAATTCTCAGTCCCCAACAAGCTCCAGAGAACCGGACAGTCATAAATCCTGGCCTTGGGAACAGAAGATCAAACCTGTGTCATCACTACTGCCCACCCTCTCATTTTTCCAAAGAGCCATCCCTTCCCTGCCGCTCCCAAGGATGACAGCAAACCCCGCATTGAGAGTGCTCTTTTCATGCATTTCCTAGGACCTCATGTCTCTATGTGATTAACCTGTCTTCTTTTTTTCCTCTGCCCCAAGGGCTCAACATAAAAGGGCAGGAGAAAATTCTCTTCTTCCCAACAGAGTTCAGCATGCTGGGCTGGAGGCCAGAGAGCTCAAGACCCTGCCCTGCCATCTATCTACAAGAGTGTGGACCTGCCAGACCCACCTGTGAGGAGTTTCAGAGCCGGCAAGGAGGGTGGGATGATGCACACCTGTAATCCCAGCACTTGGGAGGCTGAGGGAGGAGGATCATTCAGAGTTCAAGGACAGAAAGTGGTGAGAAGTCTAAACACTATCTGCTGACGTTTGCCCACTCCATGAAGGATTCCTTGGTCATACGCTGGGTCACAGCTCAACAGTCATGGAGGGGTGTGTCAAGGTTTGGGGGTCACTTACATTTTGTAATGAAACTGGGGTGCAAAAGCCACAATGCTATGTGGACGATGGGCTGCAGGACTCACCACTGATCCCGGGAGAAGAAGACAATGAAGCGGATGCCAGCAGGGAGTCGAGCCATTGAGGTTGCCACTGCCGGGGTGCTGTGGTCACCAAGTGAGCTGTGGCATGGATGACTTCTGGACTCTGATTCAGGCCTGCAGTGGAGTGGGGTGTCCTGTGGGCCCAGGCCCTCTTCCTTCTGGCAGCAGGGCCACACTGGCTCTGTGGGCAGAGAGAGAATGAGGGGCATGGACACCATGACACCATAGCCTGCGGCAGTCTTGGGCCCAGGCCACAGCTGGACTTCTAAGGTACCAGGCAGGGCACTTGGCTGGAAGTTGGTGCTGCCGGCTGGGGTGGAAGTGCTGCCCCTGAGCTGTGCTCAAAGATCACAAGATGTACAGATGGAGGGCATACCCCTCAGACGGCTAGGAAGCTTCCTAAGACACCCGACAGGTGTCCACTGCTTCAGCCATGGGCCCAACTGTCCCAGCAGCCCAGGCTACCTCAGACCCAGCCACTTTGGAACCATGTGAACAGAGAGGCACATGGACCCAAACAAATGGCAGATCAAATCGAGGGCACTGCGGCTTTGGAACTGCGACACACCTGGTGGTTTATGTCACATTTGCCTCTGCATATTTCCTCCCCTGGGAGGCCCCTTCCTGCCATTTAGGCTGAGGGCTAAGCAATGCAGGAAGAAGCAGGGGAGGCCTGGGAGCTGATAAGGGGCCCACCACCAGGGGTCTCCTAACCCCAGGCTGTCCTGTGGTTCCTACTGCTAAATCATGGTGTCTTCCAAAATAGAACCATTGTGCACACTCATGCTGCCCTCCTCCAGAGGGAGTTCTCAGAAGTGTTCCAGGATAGAGCTGCTGGAGCAGGCACACCGGAAGCCCTGGGGGTTATATCCCAGCAGCAAACATGAAGTGCACTCCTACATTTGGTCCTCCCCACCCAGGGAACTGAACCCAGGGCTTCCACACTAAGCCACACCCTGAGCCTCTTTAGAATTTACTTCGAGACAGGGGTCTGGAGTCTCCCTAAATCCTGAAATTGCCTAGGCTGGGCTTGAATTTGCAAACCCCCTGCCTCAGCCCAGATTGCTGGGATCACAGGTGTGTGCCACCACACCCAGCTTCCTTTTACTACATTGTCAAGACAATGCAAACTGTGTCTAGCATTCATTCCAGAGGCTCCACCCCACCCCATCCCCAGGTTGGTGGGGGGAAGCTGGAAGACTGGCAGAGGTACACCTTTCCCCAACGTCCAGGGAGGACCTCAGCCAGAGGGATTTATTTTATGGCTGGGAACACCTAGGCCAGCAACCCAAATTCCTGTTCCCTCACCTTCCCCCAGCAAAAGAAAAGTAAAACCTGAGGGAGGGCCGGGTGGCACCTACACCGACTTGAGAACAAAGGCTGATCTCTAGAAAGCTTTAGGCACAGGGCTGGGGTGCAGTGATGCTCAGGATGGTCGAGCAGGGCTTGCTCACTGAGAGAAATAAGCCCTCAGTGCTCCTCCACCCAATGCCATAATGCCACCTCAGTCTGCTAAAAGCTCTGGGAACGTCTACAATCTCAAGCCTCACCTCAATTCTGCAAACCCTTCAGCAAAGACAGACTCCAAGGGCCCCAAAACACAACAGGGATAAAAGCTGAATTATTTTGAAAACAATAAGCTCCTTCCACACTCTCATGCGGGTGCAGCAGGATGCCCAGTGACTACACCCTTGCACAAAACTCACCTAACCAGGCCCCTTCCTCCCTGGTCCTTGATGCCCCCTTGCCCCAAAGTCAGATGGGCGACTCATTGACCTCTCCTGGAGAAAGAACCCTGTTGTTCACTCCCAAGGGAGAAAGACGGGGGACTGGGATGTGGGGTGATAGGGTAGAAGGAACACCAGACGGTTCTGCCCGTGGCACCTCTTCCGACCAGGTTGGCTGTCCCCAGCAGAGGGCCACAAGCACAGCTCAAGCGCAGGAAAATCGTTTACAAAGTCACTGTGGCTCCCTGTACTTACTGCCTCCATAGGGGACCAAGGTCAGCTCTAGGCGCTGAGGGAGGCCAGTCCCAGCTCTGTGAGAGGAGTTAGCGAGGGACATCCACACTCGTGAATCCCACTCAGATCCCCACGTGGGGCTCTGCACCACAAGACAGGCTGAGAAGACGCCAGCAGAGGAATGCCGGAAGCACCGTTATGCTCCCCCCCCCAGATACCCCTACAACGGTTTAACTGTCAAATTTTAAAAGAGGGTCCCATTCTAGATACAAAGATGAGTTAGAAAGTTTCAAGTATTTTCTTAAGTCAAGAGAAAGAATACAACTTCCTCTTCTGGGTAAACAATTTCTAAGGCCCCATCAAAGATGAACCTATGAAAAGGAACTGGAGTCTATTTTGCCCACCACCCTGACCGTTGGGCCACAAAAGAGAACAGCAGAGCCGCGGAATCCAGGGGGAGCCGCAGCTCCAGGATTGAGCCAAGGGGAGCCCCAACACCCCTAACACACCTTCCAGGCAGTGAGGCCCCAGATCAAGAAGTGGCAGGCTCTGGAATTCCTCCTTTTAAAAATTCAGACCCGGTAGGGGCAGTTTCCAGGGTCCTCTAAGCTCAAATGCAAATCCGAAGCCCGAACCTTCAGGTCCCCGGAATCAGAGGGCTGGGGGCGGGACTTGCCAGCCCGTAAACCCTTTATGATAACCAGGAGGTCGCTGTCACAGTGTCGGCCCGGGGCTCCGGGAACCAGCGGCTCGGCAGACAAACAAGGCGCAGGCCTAGCGCTGGGTTCCGCGCGTCCCCAGGGCTCCCCGGACCGCTCCTCCCGGGCGACGCGGCGGCCCGCCCCAGAAGACACGCCCACGTGCCCACGAGCGCCGACAATGCGCTAGGTGCCCGCCCGCCGCCTCCCTAAGCCGGGGCTGGGGCAGGGAGGGGACCGACCGGACTGCCTGGCCCGTCCTGCCTGGGACCCCGCCTGAGCCCCGCCCACGTCCTCGGAATGCCGCGCACTGTCCCCCAGGACCACGCGTGCCGACCCCTCGCCTCGAAGACTGTCCTCTCCCCAGAGCGCCGGAGCCCGGCCGGCCTCCCGACACCGCGAGCCCAAATGCAGGCAGGTGCGGCCACCTGCAGGAGGGTCTCCGCTCACCTGCGAGCCAGCTCCGGCCGCCGCGGGCGCTTCCTGCTCGCCACTTCCTGGAGCGGGGAGGCCGCGCCGCCCTTTCGCTTTCCCGGCTCGGCCGCTCCTCCCTCGCCGCGCCCCTTCTACCGCCGCCGACCCCGGACCCCGGCCTACGCCCCTCCTCCTCAGTCCCCACCCTTCGGGGCGCCCCCTCCCGGCCCAGCGGGGCCAGAGGTCACGGCGGTCTGGGTCCCGGCAGTCTCTTCGGAACCAACCACTAAGCCCAGCATCCTGCGAAGAGAGACTGGCCCTCGCTCAAGGGCTGTTCGACCAGTTGGCTGCGCACCTGTACCTGTGACAGCACTCAGAAGCGGTTCTCCTCTGACTCCGCGCACCTCTGGCCAAAGGTAGAGGCTGAACAACCAGGTAGAGGGGCCTGGTCACTTCCTCGAGGTGCTCAATCCCGACCCAGGTGCCCAACAGAGAGCAAAGTGAAGCAGGACCCGGGAAAATGTGTGAGGCTAGCTGGAAACGCCCCTCTGGAAGAAGCCTGGCCCACACCCAAGGCCCTGAGGCTCCTTCTCCCTGGAGAAGGTCTCTCAGTTGCCCCTCAGGACCTGCTCTGTTCCAGAAAGCTCTTGCTCCTGGCCCAGCCACGTGAAGCTCCCATCTCATCTCTCCTCTCTGTCCTTCCCTCTCGTTCTGGCTGACCACCCAGCCGGTCCCTGGTGGCTCCCACCTACCTCTCCAGCCGCCCTCCTGGTTGGGTCCCTGGCTCTGCTCAGGCTTCGCTGTCCCTAAAGTTGTGCAACAGATTCCCCCTATGGCAATGAGACCAAACTCCTGAAGAGCTCAGGCACCCCAGGGGGCTGGAGCCATTTCTGCAGCTGCCACACTTCCTGCCCAAAGCCAGGACGACTGTTCAATCCACAAGGGCTTGTTCTACTTCAATGTTTTTGCTTGACCTTCCTGATCCTTGCTAGGTCCCGGCCCTAGTACAAACTGCTAAATTATCATGGCCCTGATTCAACATGGCTGAATCCCAAAACAATAGCTTATCTTCCCAATGACCACTTCCTCCTCCTTCCCCACCCCTGGATACCTTTCCCACACACACAAGGGAGCCCCCAATCAGCTCCTTGTGTGTCACTGAACCTGCGCCTCATACTTCTGCCCCTATCAAAAGTCCATGAAGTCTCAGCCTCCCTGTCTCAGGTCAGAGGGTCCTCCCCAACTCTCTGCCATCTATCTTCTTGTCCTTGTTCTTCTGCTTCTCTGCTATGCTGCAAGGTGTGGAGACCCAAGTGAAACCCTGCTCTGCTCACTCAATGATGTGCGCCTGCTTACTCTGAAATCTGTTTCCTGGCCCCTAGAGCAAGCCAGAAGGGGTCTCTGGGGTCTAGTCCCGGGTTAAGAGCATCTAACTAGTGCACACCAGCTATGGGGATGGGGCTTGTGTGACACAGGACAGGGTCATTTGAGCCTTTTTCACACTTTCACACTGATAAAAATGACTATATTTAGCTAAGTATGGTGACACATGCCTCTGATCCCAGCACTGAGGAAGCTGAGGCAGGAGATCTTGGGCAGCCTGGACTACATAGTGAGCTCAAAGACCAACCTGCACTACATTGTGAGATCCTATCTCAAAACAAAACAAAAAAAACCTATATTAGGATAGCACCCTGGAGAAAACCAGGGAAGGAGGTTATAGGGCATGGGTCATTGCCTCTGGCCTGAGGTCCTTTACTGACTTCCTCTAAAGCCATGTGGGCTAAGTCCCACACAGGTGTGTGGTGCTGCCTTTTTCACTGGTCTCCAGATATTTTCTAAGATGTCTGCTTTTGATTTCTTGGACCTGCTGGTTGTTCAGGAATGTATTTAATTCTCAAGTTTCCTCCTGCTACTGATTTCTCATACAGTATATGGTGGCCAGAAAAGGTACCCCAGTAAGATTCTAACCTTCGGAGAGGTATAAAGATGTTCTCTGTGGCCTGACAGGGTCTATCCTGGAGAAAGAAGAATCAATACCCTGTTGTTGCAGGATGGAATGTAGGTCATTTTTAGGGTGGTTCCAGTCACTCCTAGGATTCTCTGTCTGGATGATGCAGCCAGTTGGAAGTCTGGCTGTTGTTACACTGCTGTGTACTTTGCCCTTAAACACTGCTGTGCATATTGGTGTCATATGTGTTGGAGCGCCTACTGATGCTGGGCACGCACATATTCATCTTGTTACAGCCTTCTGGTGAGTTGGCTGCTTTTTCATTCTCTCTCTCTCTCTCTCTCTCTCTCTCTCTCTCTCTCTCTCTCTCTCTCTCGTATTTTAGTGAAAGGTCTACAGGGTGTTCAGGGTCTCACTACTAGATTGGACTCGTGGTGATCTGCCTGGCCTCCCAAGAGCTGGGATTATAGACGCGTACCACCATGCCTAGTCTCCAACAATTGCCATCACAGCGCACCCCGGGGGGTGGGGGGGTGAGGCCAGCATGGTAGGCCCTGGGATTGAACCCTCGCCGGACCCCTGTGCCTGCTTGCAGGTGCTTTAACCCGCTGAGCTATTTGGCAAGCCCTCATTTTCTCTTGTGATAGAGGCTTTGGCATTAAATTTTTTCACTGAACAAAGAAAGATGAACATGGAAGGTGAATTCACAAAGCAACTCTTCAAGTGAGGTCTTGTGACAGTGTCTGACTTAAAGGCCATTTATCTTCCGCTATGAGCACAGCCTTGTGTTCTCTTTGGCTGCCATTTGCTCGGGGCGCTATTTTTTTCGATACTTTCACTTCAGTCTCTGAGTCTCCTATAAGTGGCATGTAGTTTGGTCTTACTCTGTTTTAAAAATCAATTCAATCTCCTAGTATCTTTTAAAATTCGGGTTTTTTTTTTTTTTCTCTTCAAAAAAATCTGTTCAGCCACTTGTATCTTTGTTTTGTTTTTTTGGTACTGATGATTGGACAGAGGACTGACTAAGCTACATCCTCAACCTAATTTTATTTTTATTTTGAGGCAGAACTAAATTGCCCAGACTGGGTTTGAACTTAAGATTCACCTGCCTCAGGCTCTCAGAATGCTGAGATTACAGGCATGCATCTTCTTACTGAAGAATTCCTTTAGTTACCGTAATTACTGATAGATTAGGACTTAGTGATAACATTTTATTTTGTTGTGATAATTCTTTGTGGGAGAGATACACATCTTTTTTTTTTTTTTTTTTTTTTTTTTTGATCTGAATGCCCTCAGGGGTGGTTTGGCTGGCTGGAGTGTTGTGGGGATCGAACTACAGCAACCTGAGGCTGACAGCTTTGTGGAAGCAGCCACTTAAACAACTGAGCTAAGGCCAGGCCCCCCGAGATACACATCTTATATCTATTTTAAACTGATAAAAATGTAACTTTTACCACATGCAAAAAAATAGACTTTTAAATTCTTCCTCACCCCACTTTGCCATCAATGCCCCAATTATTGCTTTTGTATACTATATTGCCATTAAAACATTGTCATAGCTATAACAATTTCAATACTTTTAATGTGTATACCAAGTGACATCGCTTTACGTATCACCTTTATGGTATGGGAATATCTTGAATTTGACTGTATTTTTTTTCTAATTCTTCTTCTTCTTCTTCCTCTTCCTCTTCCTCCTCTTCCTCTTCCTCTTCCTCTTCCTCTTCCTCTTCTTCCTCTTCTTCCTCTTCCTCCTCTTCTTCTTTTTCTTCCTTTTTCTCCAAGAACTGGGTTAGAGAACCTGAGTTCCAAATGATCATTTTTATTTTTATTTATTTTTTGGCAGAACCGGGGATTGAACTCAGGCCCTTGTGCTTGCCAGGGAAGCGCTTATTCCACTGAGCCATCTCCCTGGCCCCTGACTGTATCCTTATCTTTACAGACATTTCTACCTTCACATGCTTTCCTGTCACCATCATCTTTTTATTTCAACTTGAAGGGCTCCAGCTAGGTCTAGTACTGAAGTCCACTTTTTATTCCGCCTTCATCTTGTAGGGCATCCTTGCGGAGCGTGACAGTCTTGGTGGCAAGCTTCTTGTGCCACAGTTCTACCATTCTGCTCCTTCCAGGACCACAAGGTCTTTCCTGAGAAATGTGCTCACAGTCTACTCGGCTTTGCTTTTCTGAAACACTCATTCTTCTCTTACTGCCTAAACATGCTTTCTTTCGTCTTTGACTTTTGAGCATTTGATTTAGAGTATGTCCTGGTGAAGATATCTGCATACGTAGTATATGTGGGGTTCCAGGTGTGCATTTCCACAGCTAGATTTGGGGAGGTTCCTGTCATTATTTCTTTAGTAAACTTCTTCCCCTGGGTCTTTCCCTCCTTCTCCTGGGCTCCCGGATGCCCATCTTGGCTTGCTTAGTGTTGTCCCCTTGTTAAGCCACTCACCAAAGGCCAAGGCAGAGCCAATGTGGTCGCTGCTCACGGGACACTGAGGTCTGCCTGTGGACAGCCCAGCTTGCCAGGCTTTAGCACTGGTGGAAATGCCCCCTGCTTAGGACAATCACTACAACAGAGGGAAAGCAGAGCCTGGTTCCTTAACGTGATTCCAGAAGCAGGTCAAGCAACAAGAATCCCTGCAGGATGGTGTCCTCACAGATGAACAGAGGACTCAGCCTCTAAGGTCACCGGTAAAGGACAGGGTGAGGGGCTCCCACTGTGAAGCACACTCTTTGCTGCCTGCTGGTGCTGTGTTAAATCTATGGATGGAAGACAGGAGAGTCTAGATGTCGCCAAGCTATAACCTAGTGCCCAGACATGGAGGGGCCACCTGCCTGGCTCCACAGCAGCCCAGAGGCAACTGTCCCTGCCTGCAGCCCCAGCAACACCACCAACCCCATAGGACTCTTGGTCCATTCCCAGGTTTATTGTGAAAGCTGTCTCTCCACTTTGATCAGGACAGAGTGGTGTGGACAGGGTCATCCCAAGCAGGATGTATCTGTTGCTCCCTGTGAGTCAGGAAAGTGGCAGGGAATGAAGAGAGCTAGCTCTCATTTCAAAACAGGGAGTCAAAAAAACCCAAACAGGAAATCCAGGCCAGGGGTGATGGCTGTGTCCTCCCATAATCCTCATACTCAGGAGGCTGAGACAGGAGGATCATTGTAGATTTGAGACCAGCCTAAGCTCCAAAGTAAGTTCAAGTCCATAGTGAGACCATGTCTCAAAAGGACAAAAAACCCAAAACATCTCCCTGCAAAAAACAAAAACAGGCACTCCTTAAAGGAAATCTAAAACTGGACATAAAAATGCAGTCTGCCTATATCACCTACAAACATCTGGGAAACTCTCAGAAGATGCAGATAAAAGCTTAGAAAGTGGGTGGAGATGAGACAGGAGCTAAGGGATAAACCAACCCCAAATGCTCCTTGCTGTGTATGCCTTTAGTACCACATGTCCCAAAAAGTAGAGGCATGTATTTTGAAAGGAAAAGAAATGTTAAGGTATAAAATGAGAGAAGGCTGTGCTTAACCTAGGTAGTGGCTTTTAGTGATACAATCTTAGGCACTGTGAACCAAGCGTATTGGCGCGTGCCTGTAATCCCATAGACTGGAGGCAAGGCAGGAGGACTTCAAGGCTAAGGCCAGCCTGGGCTTTATAGCAAAGACCAGCCAGGACTATGTACTGATATCCTGTGTCAAAGAACTAAAAAAAAATAAAATTTTTTTGAGAGAGTTTTGCAAATGCCCATTTTATTAACCTGTATAAAGCAGGCTGGGCACATTTCCTTGTTTCGAAGGTGCCTCAGCAATACTTTCTGGCAGAGTATCTTTCTCATTTTCCCTCTGCATCTGTGGTAAGGAAAGAGCTCTCGAATGTCTTTGGGGAGTAACTGGATGCTGACTTCAGGGAGGAGTGTCGGGCAGCTCCGATC